GAAAGACAAAATAGTATCCATTGGGCATTATTTTAGTTATGTAAAATAACATTTCGTTATTATGTAATTTTTATGGATAAAATAACTAAAATGCTTAATTTTTATATATGAAGATCTAAGAACAAAATCATTTTTGGTCCAGAGAACAAAGCAGAAAAATATATTTAGTTGAGACAACTAAATATTTTGTTATATAAAACTAACTAAATATTTTGTTATATAAAACAAGATATTTGGTTGCTATTAAAAAATGCCTCAACTAAACAATTTTGTTAGAGATAATAAATTTTTTTTTCTTAGTGTAGTAATTGCCATCCTTCGCAATTCACAATTGAGTATTTGCAACCTATTCTGGACCGGCCTTAAGTGTCTCGATCGCGCGACGAGAGAAAGACAACGCGCCACGTTCGTCTTTAAATCGGTGCTGCTACATCTTACCGCACCGCACATGGATTCGGGCTGTATTATGGCTCGAGCTCCTCCTTTGCGGCTTTGCTTTCCTCTGATCTTTTAATTTCTTAAAACTTATTTTAAATTTCGCAAAACGGTACGGGTCTTTTGTGTTCGCTTCCATGTTTCGCTCTAAGTCTCCATGAGAAATTGTTTAGATAATCTGGGACACTTTGTACATGGATAATTTGGTATTCAATGTCCTTCAATTTTTATCCTTATAAAAAAGGGAACAAAGAGAGGGGGTAGTAAAAATTTTACATTTTTTTTATTTGAATAGACGATTTCAGAAAGTATAAATTATTCTACAACTTTTGTATAAAATATTTTTTCATATACTTCGTAATACTTTGTATGAAATATCTAAGAAATATTTGCAAAAAATGGAAAAGTCTGATTTCTTCGAGGGGTTATTTCTATCCCTAAACATTGAGATATGATGCCGACAAAAAGGATCTAATATTTTTTAATGCTTTACAACATGTTTAAAAGCTATTAAAATCGGCGAGAAACAATGTTGACGGTTTTCTTGTGAGTTGTTTTATTACTATAATCATTAATGACTTTGAGTGCGTAAATATCAATTATTAAAGTAAGTGTTGCTAATATTTTAAAGTAATTTAATAATGTTACACACGAGTGATTAATATGATCTAGAAGCAATGTTTAATAATAAAATTTATTGCAATATTTCCCTATAATATATTTCATAATACATCATTTTTTGTACACTTTATGTATTATCTTAATACATTCAAACTTAAATATATTAAGAACTTGTTTCAGCAATGTTTTATTTATTTATTAAACACTATAAGCTATATTATTATAAAAACAATATTTATAAATATTTATAAATGCAATGTAAATTTTTTATAACAAAACAGATAAACATAAATTTTCCTGATTATTATAAATTGTTTCATACTATATTTTTTTCAATTTAACTTATTGTTTGATTTTTAATTAATGTTCAATAAACATTTGAAAGCTATATAGTTATGTTGCTATTCATTTTTCAATTTATTATTTGTTATATAAATAAAATGGATGATATCGATTCTAAATTACTTGTTGTTGCTTTCGATTGCTATTATTATTGCTATTTGACTACAGTTTTCGAAGAAATAAAAATGTTTGGTAAGTACGATATATTGAGATATCACAACTCAGTAACGTTATTAGTTGCTATTCAATCATTGAAGTAAAGCAATACTACCCCTTATAGAAAAGCATCACTGACATAGAAACAAATAAAATAAAATAAATCAATATTTAATCTTTGTATAAGTAATAAAAAAATTAAAATAAAAAAATAATAAAACAAAATAAAAAAATGTTTTCATCATTTCGATCCAGCTGCACCATCTTTGCTTTAACTGCAAACTTTTTATAAAAAGTATTACTGGTTGTAATAAATTAGCTAGTGATAAATGTTGCTTGGTAATTTTACTTATATGAGTAATAAAATTTGTACAAATAATTTTAGTATTCATATGAGTAAAAAATTATTAAGAAATAATAATTTATCACTAATCAATTTATTATAACAAATAATATTTTTCTATAAAGGAATTAAATTATTTGTGTTTCATGTTATATCATGTTTATGTGCGTGCATGCGAGCATGTATGCATGCATATATGTACGTACAAGCACGTCATATATACATAGTCTGAAATGTAGATTTTTATAAAATATTTATTTAATTTGTTTTTATATGAAGCAAAGTTAGATGATAGTACTGAATATAATACAATATAGAAAAGTAAACAAGTAAATATGCATTCTGTGAATCTGCTTCCACATCAACGAACCACCGAAAAAAAAATGTGCGACTACGAGTACTTTTGAATTATAACTCTTATAGAAATTTAATATTGCTAAGTTTATTTGATTATAATGAATTATTTATTTCGTGTATTAAAAATACTATTATTAATAATTCCTAGGAATTCAACTACTGGGCTCGTAGTGATCATAAGTATTTCAGTGTTTAAAGTGAGTGATTAAACGTTATTTCAGAAAAGTATTATTAGTTGGTCAGTTGTAAATTAGTATTATTCAGTAGCTTTATCATTGTAACCATTAATGATCCTGAATATTTAAATAATGATTATTGAAATAAGCATTGCTAGTATGCTAGTATGTCCCTCTTTCTTGAAGTTAATTTATTTTTTCAATAATTTCAAATTTAGTAATGTTTTATAATAATGATAGTACTTAGGAACAGTGATTGGGATTTACTATAATAATTCCCTACAATATATTTCGTAATGCATCGTTTTTTATACAGTCTTAAAATGTCTTTGATATAGTATCAAAATGTTTTTTATACAGTCTTAAAAAAACTAAGAGCTTGTTTCAGCAATGTTGTATTTATTTATCAAATATTATAAGTAATATTTTGAAAACAAGTATTTGTGGAAACAATATAAATTTTTTGTAACAAAAAAAATAATCATAAACTTTTTCGTTATTATAAATTGTTTCAAACTATAATTATTTCAACATACCATATTTCTTTTCAATCTAGCTTATTATTTTTTCCAATATTCACTATAATGTTTGATTAAAAATTTCAATGCTGAAGTATTGTACCAATTTGTTATTATTAATTATATTAATGAGATAAATGATATTGATTTTAAGTTAATTGTTGTTACATTATACTTAACATATACTATTACTATGCTTTTTGAAGAATATAATAACATTCTATAACTGTAACCAACCAAGATATCTTCATGACTGAATAGCATCACTGTTTGATCATTCAAATAAAGCAACATTGGTTACAGGGGAAGAATAGTGATCACTGGATTGAAATCTCATTGGATGAGAAAGAAAGAGACAACATAATTTTTTTCATTACAACTAAAACATCATTAATTCACTTTAACTTTTTTGTTTTTATCTAATTTATCTAATACAAATATAGTATTTTCCAATAATAACATAAGAAATTCACAATATATATATAATTAAATATTAACTAAATAATTATTGAAATATTAGCAATATTTAATTGCTACAAATTTTTTAGTAAGTCTTAGTATTAAATTTCTGTAAAGAAAGGGAATATGCAGTCTTAGTGCAATGATCCAAGCATCATTTCAAAGTGTTTGTTCAAGTACGGTCCACAGCTATTATGAATGCAATAGAATATCACACATTTGTAACTTGCATAAAACATTGTAATATTGTAAATGGAAATTTCCAATTTATATTTTTATAAGCTTAGTCTAAAAGAAGGTAGAATAATTGAAAAGCATATCCAAAACATAAATTAAATATATCTAATTAGTGAATAACTGAGATAGAAAAGTGATTTCCAAATTTGATATTGAGCAAATTATTAACTATAAGATTTCAAAGAACTTCTCGCTGCAACACAAAGTGTGTGCAAAAATTGTGTGTATAACCCTCCTTTCTTCTATTTTTATTCTGGATAAATTAGATATATTCCTTGATTAAGAACTTGAAGTTAGTATAATGCTTTCACTTTCACTTGAACTCTCTTTTTTTATTAATTCTTACATTTATTTTCTAAAAATATATATAATAATATATGATATGAATTCTGGTTCTAATGATTCTTGATAATTGATAAATATCACAACTGTATCGAAAATAATGAATCACTAGAAGAAGTTGTTTTATATTATGTGAAATTTTGAATAAAAATTAATTAAGGAATTATATGTGTATATGTGTGTGTATATGTATGCACGCACGCATATGTATGTGTATGTGTACGAGGAGTCCTATTTTAATTTATCTTTCTCAAAAACATTTTTTATTTCTGATTGTTGAAAAAAATATTTCAGATAAAAATTGTTTAGTTTAAAAGGTGACATTTCTGAAGCTAACTCTGTTAGATGTCGTTTTAAGGAAATTTCAAAGGCGAATAATTTCTTGAATGAATTTAAACTTTTCATTCAAATAAAAGTTTTACTTCAAATTTATATGCCAATATTAAAATACTTCATATATGCATTTAGAGAAAGTATATATGTTTTACTCCTAATTAATTCTTATAGAAATCTTGTTAAATTTCTTGTAACGTTGAAACGAGTTTAGAACAAATATTAAAATATTTTGTACAAATTATATATATATGAAATCATAGTATGTAAACTTAAAAATTTCATATCTCTGCAATAGCTTATGCAAAAGAAAATTTTTAGGGTGATGTTTTAAAAACATCTCAACAAAATCTATCACTTTTATCTTAAGAAAAAAATCGAGTTTTATTTAAGAAATTAGTTGCCTTTAGAATTTCTTGAATGACGTCTGCGATGACATCTATGACACGATTAACGTCAGTATCTTATATCCCTCTTTAAACTGAACAACTTTTGTCTGAAGCATTTTTTTCTACGATCAATAATAAAAAAGTTTTTGACAAGAGGAAAGAGGGATAAATTAAAATAAGACATCCTGTATATTGACATACTAGTGAATGCAAGTATTTAAATCATTTATACAAATGAAATATCAATAAAATAACAGTAATAAAGAAGGTGACGGAAAGTTATATTTCTTACTTGCTTCTCACGGTAGTAATGATTGCTCCGCGATGAAGAGTGAATTCAAGAAAACTTTCACTGCTTTTATTGGTTCCACTGTGATGTCTTCTTCCTCTGGTTACGTTTTTCTTGCTCCTCTTATCTCACAATTTCATGACCAATGACGTCGTAACGAAAATCGTCAACTATAATTACAAGCTTTTTTTCTGACAAAATTTCTTATATGATTGTAAATGACATCACGATACTCGACGACACAGCATGTCGCGTTCCGGTTTTGATATTGCTTGACAAGTAATATACTGATGGAAGAGAAAATTGAACACACCGATCATGTTTAAAAAACCGGCGAAACAGTTGGACAGCTCTCTTTCTTTCACGTAATATCAAGTTACGTTGTGCATCGCGTATCTATTATTGTGTGCATATCTATTATCGATTCCAGTGAACAGCGACCGACAGTGGTATCTTATTTCGTTGTTAGTCGATACTACGACGATAACTTTGCCGAAGTCGTGAGAGAAATTCGTTCGCGGGATTTTATTCCTAATTTGCCCGACACCGGCGTGTCGCCAATAGCGTTCTACTCCGCCACGTACGACACACGTTTAAACGAACGAGAAGTCTGGCGCGTGTCAACTGCCGGCTGTCTGCTACTCTTCGGTACTGTCCGGTAGCACCGTCACGACCTCGTGGTGTTCACGTGATTGCAGCGCCTTCACGAATCGCAGCGACGCGTGGACCGCGTGCTTGCATTCTTGCAATCGCGTCGTGTTGGCGACGCGTCGAGTTGACTCTCAGTACGATCTACGGTTCGGGGGACACGAGGAAATGGGGTTTCGTATCATACCGGTTCTGGAAGACCAGCTCTCTCCTACGGTGTCCCGTTGTAGTCAAGCCTTCCATTTTTGAAATGATAAAATCTCAAATCGCTATCGCTATCGAAAGTTTATATTCATATTGGCAAATCTCGCAAATATGTCTTATATAGAATGCGAATTGACTCGTGTTGTGACCCGAGACGAGCTTGCTCTTGCTCGCGACCCGTACTGACGCGGAATCGACACTAAATTTCCGGTAATGTGTTTTTCTTTTCCGCGGAATTTGCCATGCACGCGATGAATGATAATAGCATCATGTCTGTCGTTGAGTGTTCGTATTACGATACAGGTGTCTGTGGTCAGCCGACTCAATTAAATATGATTTCTGCGCGATATTTTTAGTGTTAATAACTGAAACGATTTCACAAAATTATTTTTTATTGCACGAAATCTGCAATGTTCTTTCAAACGATCATTTTCTTGAATGTATTCGGGCGTTTTATATATATATATTTTTTTCTCACTTTATATATATATATATATATATATATATTATATATAAAGTGAAAGTATTAATACTGTGAAACATATATCTCTAACTCTAAACGTTCTTATCTATACCGGATGAGAAACTTAAATTATCACCTTGAATATCTCCGCTATTTTTAGAAATATAAAAATATCCTAATTACGAAAATTGCACATCAAAAAGAATCACTTCCCAGTAATAAAATGCTAACAATAACTTTTATGAGTGAAAACGTTTCGGAGATTTCAGTCATTTCCGTTTTTCTTTTTTCTTAGCAGCATACTATACTTCTTTATCCTTAGAGCAATAGCAGATGTTTACACAATTTCAACAACTTATAATATAAAGTCATTCGGCATTAAACAAAAGAGTAAAATAATAACTCTTATATTATAAGAGATATTCGAAATGACATCCGCTTATATCGATTTCATCACTGGAATAATAAATGATAGATTAATAGATGGGTATCAAATTATTGGCAATTAAATTAAATTAAAAAATGAAAAACTTATCTAAATAAAATAATAATGACAATAACCTTTCCTTTATTTATATACTGTTAATAATTCAAAAAATATTGTAATGAGCACGTGTTGCATAAAACATACAGCAATACTGTATGTGTTAATTTATTATCTATTTTCAGTTGATAAAATCGATGTAAGTAAATATTAATTTGAGCATGTCTTATGATATAAGAATCATTATTTTATTCTTTTGTTTAATGTCGGATGACTTGGTATTATAGTCATTGAGATCGTTTGAAGATCTACTCAAAAAATAAAAAAAATATACCTTACACCATTCACAGAAAAATTATTAACTAGCATATTATAATCCTTCGTAATATCTTCGTGATACTATATACACAATTTCCATAATTACAATATTTTGATACTTCTAAAAACAGCGGTCATATCTAAGGAGATAATTTTAAGTATTTTTTTCGGTATATGCAGGGTGGGTGAAAAGTATGGAAACCCTTAAAAATCTTGAAAGATATAAGTTTTATAGAAAAGTGTTTTAGACAAAAGTTATAGGATTCAAAACGATGTATTTACTGATCTTATCAGTTCGACCTTGAGTGGCGTTGCCAAGGTTAGATCAAGACCAACTTATTTTTTTTAAACAGAAATCCTCATTTTTTATTATATCATCTTTTTTTACCAATTAATTTTAATAACTTTTGTCTGAAACACTTTTTATTTTCTTAATATTTTTTGAGATATTTAAAGAAAACTCAGCAACTTTTTCAATATTTAACTTACGATATCTTGTTAACTATTTGTCGGAAGAAAAAGTGGTTTTCTATAAAACATATCTTTCAAAATTTTTAAGGGTTTCAATACTTTTCACTCACCCTGTATATTGTTTCAGCTTTTAAATTTAAATATTTAAATTTTCTATATATATATATTTATATATATATGTAGTGTGTGTGTACATGTATTAAATTATACCAAGTTTTTTAGAAGTAACGGATCCCCCTATCTCAGAATCGATGCATTATAGGGAAAAATGACCCGAATAAAAGTTTTAGGGTTCATAAAGTTCTGTTTTCTGTGACCTCAAATTTGACCTTGACCTCGACTTTGAAAGTCATTTGAAGGTCAACTTGCGCTTTTTTAAATGGAAACCCCTATTTTTTATTACACTGTTTTTTTCTACCAATTAATTTAAACAACTTTTGTTTAAAACATTGTTTTATTTGCCTAATATTTTTTGAGATATTTGAGGAAAGCTTGATAACTTTTTCAATATTTAACTTACGATATCTCACTAACTATTTGTCGGAAGAAAAAGTGGTACTAGACTTTCTTGCTTTATTTTGTCTCAAGAATATATTGTGCCTTGATTTTTGTTAATTTGATGACTTTGAAATTTCCAAGAATCAGTAAGTCAACAAAGGGCACTATTGTAACAATATATTCTTGAGACTAAATAAAGCAAGAAAGTCTAGTACCACTTTTTCTTCCAACAAATAGTTAGCGAAATATCGTAAAAATTGAAAAATTAAATATTGAAAAAGTTATCAAGTTTTCCTCAAATATCTAAAAAAATATTAGGCAAATAAAACAGTGTTTTAGATAAAAGTTGTTTAAATTAATTGGTAGAAAAAGACAGTATAATAAAAAATAGGGATTCCCATTTAAAAAAAACGCAAGTTGACCTTCAAATGACCTTCAAAGTCGAGGTCAAGGTCCAATTTAAGGTCACAGAAAACAGAACTTTATGAACCCTAAAACTTTTATTCGGGTCATTTTTCCCTATATAATGCATAAATTCTGAGATAACGGGGGTTCGTTACTTTTGGAAAACTTAGTATACCAGGTATGTAAATATGAAACCAGAATTTTTGTATAGAAAATACACATTTATTGTATGAAAATGATAAAAAATATTTTATTCGAAGTATTGCCCACCGCTAGCTATACATTTTTCTCACCTGTCTGACAATTTGTAGATGCCACGGCAAAAAAACTATTCTTCTTTTGAGGCAAACCAGTCATCGAGCCATTTTCATATATTTTCGTAAGAAGTGAAGCGCTGCTCAGCAAGTGCGTGTCCCATCGATGCAAATAAGTAATAATCGGACGAAGCCAAGTCTGGTGAGTAAGCCACATGCGAAAGTAGTTCCCAACTAAACGCCTCAATCGGTTCCTTGACCAGTTTTGCTGTGTGTGATAGTGCATTATCATGAAGCAAAATCACTTTGTGTTGCCTTTTTTGATATTCTGGTCGTTTTTCACGCAAAGCTTGATTCAAATCGATCATTTGTTGTCGGTGGCGTTCAGTATGAACGGTTTCACCAGGTTTTAGCAGCTCATAATAGATCACACCCTTCTGATCCCACCAAACACAGAGCATTGTCTTCCGTCCATAGCGATTTGGCCTTGCAGTCGATGTCGATGGTTCGCCTGGAGTTACCTGGATGATCTTTTACGCTTAAGATTCTCAAAATATATCCACTTTTCATCGCCAGTCACAATTCGATGGAGAAATGACTTTCTTTTGTACCTGGCGAGCAATATTTCGCAAGTGGTTTTTCGATTTTCCTGTTGTCTTTCATTCAGTTCATGTGGAACCCGTTTTCCCATCTTTTGGATCTTTCCCATGGCTTTCAAACGTGGAGACGGCTTCTCGTGTCACATTTAATTGATCCGCGAGTTGTTGTTGCGTTTGAGCGTCATCCTCATCCAACAATGCTTGCAATTCACTGTCTTCAAACTTTTTCGGTGGTCTTCTACGTTCTTTGTTTCTCACGTCAAAATCGCCACGTTTGAATTTTTTAAACCACTCAAAGCACTGATTTACCAAGAGCATGCTCACCGTAAGCTTCGACAAGCATTCGATGCGATTCTGCAGCAGTTTTCTTCAAATGGTAACAGAAAATCAATGCTGTCCGCAAATCGTAGCTTCCAGGCACAAAATTCGACATGTTCAACTATTACAAACTATGCTGTTGTATGAAACTTGTATCATTGTAAGTTGAAAATCTTTGTCAGATGTCAGCAAATGGAAATGGCGCCAATGACGCGGTTTGACGGTAACTACATTGACAGCTAGGGCCATCTATGGGCAAATTCCGGTTTCATATTTACAGACCTGGTATACAGGGTGTCTCATTTTAACTTTCGTATTAAAAAATCTCGAAATCTTCGAGGTCGACGAAAAAATGTTTCAGATAAAAGTTGTATAATTTCAAGGGAGACATAAAACAACTATATTATTTTGCTTACAGATGGCGCTACTTTCGAGATATTCACTAATCATTACTTTTCTTAAATGGATACCCCAATTTTTTATTACAACTTCTTTTTTTACCAATTAATTTGAACAACTTTTGTCTCAAACATTTTTTTATTTGTCTAATATTTTTTTGAGATGTTTGAGGAAAACTTGATAACTTTTTCAATATTTAACTTACGATATCTCCTAACTTTTTGTCGGAAGAAAAAGTGGTACTAGACTTTCTTGCTTTATTTAGTCTCAAGAATATATTGTTACAATAGCGCCCTGACTTTTATTAACTTACTGACTTTTGGAAATTTCAAAATCATCAAATCAATAAAACTCAGAATGCTATTGTAGCAGTATATTCTTGAGACCAAGTAGAGCAAAAAAGTCTAGTACCACTTTTTTCCGACAAATAGTTAATGAGATATCGTGAATTAAATATTGAAAAAATTATCAAGTCTTCCTTAAATATCTCAAAAAATATTAGGCAAATAAAAATGTTTTCAGGCGAAAGTTATTTAAATTAATTAATTATTTAATTAATTAATAATAAAAAAGAAGGTATAATAAAAAATTTAGGTATCCATTTAAGAAAAGTAATGATCAGTGAATATTTCGAAATGGCGTCATCTGTAAGCAAAATAGTATAGTTGTTTTATGTCCCCCTTGAAATTATACAACTTTGATCTGAAACATTTTTTCGTCAACCTCGAAGATTTCAAGATTTTTTTATACTAAAGTTAAAATGGGGCACCCTCTATATATATTCCAGAGAAATATATGTATACAGCTCATTTATAATTGGAATTGATGAAATTTCTTAACAAGGCACTGCTTCCTGTTATTAAATTTTTCCGAGTCGCCTTTGATTTGACGCGGCGGCTAGACTGTTCGCTATATGTGTCTGTTTCTTATGTCCATTGTTATATTAAAAAAAATAGAAGTTCCAGAGAAAAAAGTTTTTTTTATTGCCCGGTGTCCACAGGACGTAACAAATGTATTAATAAATTTCCAAAATGTAACGGAATTTTATTTAAAGTTTTACTATGCTTTTTTTATAACAATTGATTTTACCTGTCAGTACAAAAAAAAAGTAAGATAAACAAAAAGTGAATAATTCACGAAATATTTCATATTATAATAATAAAATATCAAGATGAAATGTAAAATGTTTAAAAAAATATTCACTTTTTAATGATTTCACTAGTATTTTTATACGTCGTTTCCAGTATTTTTATACATAGAATGATCAGAGGAATTAATTTACGGTAAAAAAATCATATGGATCTTTTGAAAAAACCTTCATATGATCTTAATGAAGTGATTGAAACTTAAAGGAATAATATCACCATACATCCCCATTGAAATTATGTAACTCATATGAAATATTTTCCGCTAAAATCTCTTTAATTTTCGAAATATCAAAATGCGAAAGTTAAAGTATGACACTTTGTATATAGATATATTTAGCAGTTGATACTTCATCTTTTTTTATAAAAAGTTTTTAATTTATAAAAATAATCTGAAAAGACAATAAACTAAAAAAGAAAAATAAAATTTCCCATTTGAACTATATGTATATCACAAGAAGTATAAAATCATAAAACATAAATAAAAAACTATAAAATTGTATAAAATGTCTTTGGATATACCTCGTAATGTTTATTTGCTGAAAATTTAAAATACATCATTTCCAAAATTATAACAATTTTTAAACATTGAAATAAGCACATACAAAAATTATAAATCTAATGGTTTTTGTTATTCTACAATATATTCAAATGCTATCACAATCGGTGAGGAACATTCCTAACATTTCTCTTCTAAGAATTACATCAAATTAATATATTAATTATAAGGTATTTAATTTAAAGAGAAAACGTGATATGCATAAGAAATTATTTTTCTACAAAAGAAATGTCAAATAATATTGTTAAGTTTAGCATTTTTCTTTGCGTTTTTCTTTAAGAAAGAAAAAAGGAAAAATCTATATGACACAGATATTTAAGTTAATCTAATATGGACCAGCATATTATAATACATATTTTGATTTTGCAGACAGATGATATATGTTTTATTGATATCGCACGAACAGTACATTTGATAAGTATTCAAAAGCACTGCAGACGCGATAAACACAATTTATAAAAATATCGGTATGATTACGCAAAACTAATGTAATAAACATGGATATGATATAAAAAAATAAAAAGAATCGTTGTCTTTTTTCTATGTACAACTAAACGTACCATGTTGCTTGCTTTGAAAAATTTCGTTATGTACAAATCGCCATTTCGTGTTTGTAACCAAAATAATCGTATATTTATTAAAATTATTTAATTTTATTTTATTCTACATTGTGTAATTTTACACATAAATTTCATGTGAACCTGTTCACATCGCAAAATTTTCAAAATTAGTATAAAACGCAAAATAATATTGACATATATAAAAATTGTTTATCGAGAAATGTGAAACAATATGCGTAACGTGAATCTGAAACTAGATAGAAATAAAAATTGACATTATTAAAGAGGCTGCGTTCATCGTTGAGATGAAATAAGCACATGACAAATCACCAGCGATGTTCTAATTTGTACATATTCATATTGTATATCATATCATTTTCATACATGCATGCACGCATACAAGTACACACACACATACACACATACAATATACAAAGAACCTAATCACCGCGACACTAATCTCCGTGTGACTTAACTGTCGCCATCATCATCACCATCACTAAATATTACCACTACTAAATGATACATATTCGGGTCTGTGAGAATCCAAACACAAGTTCCATAACAATAGCACTCGACTTTCAAGTTACAGAGTATATCTAGTCTATCTCTTTTTCTCAAGATAAGAAATGGAACGCCATATATATTACACATTCACGTGCAAGGTGGTGGTTGTTGCTGCGGTGAGGGAAGGGGCGCCGCCGCGGCAGCTGCGACCGCAGCGGCAGCAGCATAGGACGACGGGTCTGAAGGATCGAGAAGCGGTGGCGGCGGCGGCAGACTACCACCACCGCCTCTTCCTCTGCCTCGGCCTCTACCACGACCCCGGCCCCGGCCCCTTCCCCTTCCGCGTCAACTCCGCCTTTCCGGCATCCCTATGTTGCTCGTTGTCTTTTCTAGAAAAGCCAGTGGCCCTTGAAGTGCGCTACTTCCTACACCTGCAACTGGAAACCCAGTGGCGCCCCTGCCACCGCTCACACCCACACCACCCTGAGTCATGAACATGCCTTGCTGATTGACCGATACGCCAACTCCCTGTAGACCAGACGCTGGTGGTCCACCTGACCCCTGTTGTACCTGCAAAATTACATATATATATAGTTTAACATTTAAATTATATATATGTTTATGATTAAGCTTTTTGAATTAAAATTCAAATAAAAATTTTGAAGTAATTTATAAATATCGAGTTGGGAAAAAGTAACATATTTCTAGTTTAAAATTGGAACAAATGTATTTAAAAGCAACTTCGATCAATAATATAACGGCCGTTATTTTCTACAATCTTTAGCCACCCTTTCAAGCAACTTCATAATTCGTCATCCTTTCCCGTATCCTTTCCCGGATAATCAAAGAATTATAAGGCTTAGTGTTGTATTGATAGCATAAAACATTCATTTTATTCATAAGTTCTGAGCATCTTTCTATAATAGCTTCTTTCAGTTTGCAATTGGATACAGTAGTTATTCGAATAAAACCGTATGTTCTTCGGTAAAAGTTTATAATATACATTTTATTAGTTTCACCAAATGTATAACATGACCTTTTCCGGATAAAACCCAGGTTTTGGAGCGGTTAATAGGTTTTCTGAATGTTTTTCCCCGAAACTATCTAAATAATGTATTCGAAGACCAATGGATTGGCTTAGGTAGTCAAACTCATGAATAGCCTTCAAAATCTCCTGACATAATACCATTAGATTTTTTCTCTGGAGATATGTTAAAGAAGAAAACAAAAATGAGTCAACGACTATTGAAAATATGCAAGAACGCATTCGTAACATATTTAAGAACATAACACCAGCTATGGTATGTTTGAAAGAGTCCGTAACAATTTTTACGAAAGATTGCATTTATATATCCAAAAAGGGGGACGTATTTTCGAACACCTTCAATAAAATATGTATTTTATCATTCTTAGATATCCATACTCATACGCAAGCATCGCGCTCGCACGCACGCACGCACGCACGCACGCACGCACGCACATGAACACGAACACGCACACGCAAAAAACAAAAGAGGTGTAAATCCGACCGAGCAACCTCCATGCGGTCACCTTGGATAATGCCGGCGGTACTATTTCAAGCCTTGTAACTCGGAAAATATTAGCTGAAGAAATACTTAATTATAGTGTTTTGGAAAGCTCTCGACCTACAAGAACTACAAGAATATACATTGAAAAATAGGGGTTTCCATTTAAAATGTTTATGATGACCCTCGAATGACCTTCAAATTTGACCCCAAGGTCAAAATGAAGGTCATCATCAGATGACCCCATCTGATTCCGTAGAGCTTTTGTCTGAAATATTTTTTTCTACGTCCGCTCCCTATAAAGTTATGAAGAATAATACATTCTCGGCATAAAACCCCTGTGATTAAACATGGGGGATCTGGGGGAGGAGGGTAGCCTGATCGGGGCCGGGTCCTGCTCCCCCAACCCCCACCTCTAACATCGAGGTGGGGGAGAGGGAGGGGGTCGGATGCCCTCCCTCCCTCGCCGGCCTTGTTGACCGGCCGGCACAAGGCTAGGCTTTAAGCCTGGTCTGGGGTCGCGCACTGCGGTTTTGCGGTGTGCGGCGCCAGGCGAAGGGCCCTATGGGCCAGGGGGATGGGGTGGTCGGAGAATCGGCTAGATATTGACGTAGTTCCTCCCCAGCTATATCCTCGAGGAAGGCATCCCGGTGGAGTTTAGCCGGTAAGAGTCCGGTATAACCCTCACCCCCCTCGGAGAGGGGGTGAGGGTACCCATGAGGGTTTCCCCACCGAGATATATATATAAAAAAAAAGAAAAAAAGGTGATAGATTAAAATGGGACACTCTGTATAGGATAAATGAGATTTCTATTTTGTTATTTCTCTCAACCTCCTATCATATGTCACTGATTATTTTCGATTAAAGTCTTGATTTTATCGCTATCAACAGTTTATGAACTAAAATGCTCCTCATATTTCAATGTCGTATCATTAGCACGAAACTTCGCAAGTCTTCTCTGATACATGCGTTCGGTTACGATATTCTTTCCACACACAGCACATATTTTTCTTCGTTTGTATCACGTTTTTTCTATTTCAGAAATAAAACGGCATCACATAACAAAAATATAATTTGTTTTATTCTATTTTTTTCTCGACCTAAAGCAAACGGAAACGCTTTTACACATAATTATAAATGACGCTTACAGATATTAGTTCTTACAATATCATCTACGCTATTTAAAAGAAAATTTCTTTCAAATAAAATTTACTAAATTTCTATTGAAATTATCTATTGAGAAAATATAAACATTACTTTCTTTCCAATCTAATAATTAAATCCAAATTAAAATAAAATTAATCAAAACAAATAACCCAGTCAGAATCATAACGTTGATTCAACGTTGATTTGACGTTGAAATGGTCGATGAATCGTTAAATCAACGTTAATTCAACCCTCATCGACGTCGAATCAACATTGTGGTTTTGGAACTGGACTGGATAAGTAGTTTACTTAAAATTTAATAACGGAAAATGATTTTATCTTTCACTTTATTTTTCAACTTACAACAGCAAAAACTGTTTTATAATCGTTCATAAGTCGAAATATTGGGTTGGCAAATAAGTTCGTTCGGTTTTTGTTTAAGTGTAAGTTTCATGCTGATTCGCTTTTCTTTTCTCAGCGCTATCGTTCTATTATTTTAAAAAAAGGCAAACGAGCTGCGGATACTTATAATAAGATATGCCGTGTGTATGGAGATAATGCCTGAACAGAACGCGTATGCCAAAAGTGGTATGCTAATTTTCGTTCTGGAGATTTCGACGTCAATGATGCGCTCTGTTCCGGTTGCCCGACCGAGATTAATTCAAGTGACATTAAGGCTATAATCGAAGTAAATCCATCCCAACCTGTACGAGAGATTGCTATGACATTGAATATATCCTACACAAGCGTAGAAAAGCATTTGCGCCATCTGGGATACGTTTCTCGGCTTAATGTTTAGGTGCCGCATCGATTAACCGAGGCTAACTTGACCACACGCATATCTGCAATTCGCTACGGAAATGCCAAGAAAATGACCCATTTTTAAAACGAATGGTGACGGGTGACGAAAAATGGGTCGTCTATGATAATGTACACGTAAGAGATCATGGAGGCACAAAAGCGAGCCACTGCAAACAACCTCGAAGGTGGGATTGCATCCGAAGAAAATAATGCTTTCCGTATGGTGAGATTTCAACGGTGTCATCTATTACGAACTGTTACCGTCAGGCAAAACGATTGATTCAACTGTATACTGTTCGCAATTGACGAAATTGAGTCAAGCAATCCGCACAAAATGTCCAGAATTGGCAAATCGCAAGGGTGTCGTCTTCTACCACAACGCCAGACCTCATACGTCATTGACCACTCGGAACAAATTGCTTCAGCTTGGCTGGGATGTTTTGCCTCATCCTCCGTATTCACCGGATTTTGCCCCTTCCGATTATCATTTATTCCGGTCGCTGCAGAACTCTATGAACGGGAAAACCTTCGAGGACGAAGAGACCGTTAAAAACTATCTGGATTGATTTTTCGCCGATAAGCCCCAAACGTTTTACGAACGTGGCATAATGAAGTTGGTGGAAAGATGGCTAGAGGTAATCGATAAAGATGGCCAATATATAATTGATTAAATTTATCTTATGTATCAAAAAATTGTGTTTTATTCTACTCTAAAAAACCGAACGAACTTATTTGCCAACCCAATACTATATATTTTTACTAAAAAAATATTGAATTAAAATTCTTTAGATTCTTCAATTTGTTCCTAAAGTTAACAAAAGAACTGCACTAGATATAAATCATTAGTTACAAGTATATAATTCATACAAATATATTTTCTTTTTCTAGCACTGTGTATATCACAATTCTCAACGTACTTAATCTGCATCCATATCAGCATTTCTCTCCAAGTAACAACTAATAAAAAGTAATATGTGTCTATATTGTATCAGGTTAATTTTAAAGTATAATATTCATGGTACACGAAAAGATGTTTAGTCCAGTGAAACAAATTTCTGATGAAGTATGGAAGATATAGAAATTCCAGTTGAAGATACTAGAACTCAGTCTAATTAATAAAGATTTTTGGTTAAGTCAAAGGAAATTCTGGTATTTTCAATCAAAATTTCTTATTTCACCAGAAAATTAATTTATTCAACCAAACATTTTTCTCCGTGCAGACTTGAATAAATACACGGTAAGTCTTTATGGAAATTCTATCATACTCCAACGATTAAATACTCCTCTAACAAAGGACGGTAAAGAGTACGATAAAAAACGATATCATTTCTTTCGGATTCGATGCAGCAAATGCAATAGAAGACAATGAGATTCTTTACAAATCCTATCGATTTCTATCATTTTTTCTCTTTCGAGCTTTCTTTATTACACGATATTTTACGGTTCCAATATGAGCTATTTTTGCTACCTCGAAATAATCTCGTAATTCTAATCGTGGATATTTAAAAGCCGTATCAACATGAGGTTAGGTGTGGTGTGGCGAGACGTAGGAGCGATAAGATAAAATATAAGCAATAGCACCTTGTCATTCTTCCCGCCGCGCGCGGACAACAGTTGCTCAATCGATTAGGCTGCGCTATAGCCCGAGAGGTTGTAATGCTCTTCCAATACCATCTCGGTGCGCGCTCAATCGTCAAATTTCTATAATTAATAATTCGATACTTGATAATTATTGCGAATATCGCAAAACGGGACTATATATTTGTTTACTCCGCTCTACATCTCCACGAATTCCTCGGAGCGAGCTCTCTATATAGGGTGTCTCATTTTAAATGAGCTAAGCAAAAATCTCAAAAAATATGGAAGATACTAAAAGAAACGTTTCAGACAAAAATTGTATGGTTTCAAAAAGGACATAAAATAATCATTTTGCTTACAGATGTGGCACTTTCGAGATATTCACTGATCACTACTTTTCTTAAATGGGAACTCAAATTTTTTATTACATTGTCTTTTTCTACCAATTAATTTAAACAACTTTTGTCTGAAACATTTTTTTATTTGCCTAATATTTTTTGAGATATTTAAGGAAAATTT